AAGGATGTTTGTGAAGACAGAAAAGACATCAGATTACAACTGGCCCATGCAATAGATCAGCTGGTCCGCCGACTTTTCCACAGGTCTATTCTCGGGCCAGCAGACCACCATTTTCGACCCCTGAAAAGTGGACTGTACTGGTCCAGTCAGGCCCCCAGAAGGCCCAGCTTTATTGATTGGTATTCCTTTCTTCACACCCAAGAATGATTCTGTCGGCTCCTCAAAGGAATTCCATATGTTGATTCCAGTTTAGTTTAACAATACTCCCCTGACAAAGAACCAAGATAATGAACTTCTGCTCTCTGCAAGGCCTAGGCTTGGCTCAGCCTTTGAAAGGCTTTCACGCATCAGTCTGTCCGCCGGGCTCCCTAAATTACCTTGACCAGAATTCCAACCGTCTTGTCTTGCCTTTGTGACATCCAACTTAGACTACTTCAACAGTTTACTGTTTGCTTTACCCCACACTCACATGGTACATGAACATGTATCTCTTCAGCATCTACAAAATACTACAACCAGCATGGTTGTCAGGGCAAAGCGCAGTGAACACATCACACCCATACTGCAGTCTTTGCACTGGCTACCCATCAGTCAGTGTATTCGGTTCAAATTCTTCTTCTTGCTTATAAAATTAGAAATGGACTAGCACCAGCATAGCTCAAGGATCTCACCAGGCCAAAGGTCTCAACCAACTTCACATTAACATCTTGCTCAAAGCCCGCACACCAACACCTGTTACGGTCAGCGGGCATTTGTTGTCGCTGCAGCTACTCTCAGGAATAGGCTCCCACCCTTAATACACACATTCAGGACCTAACTAAAGACACACTTATTCAAAATTTGAATTATGCTTAAAATACCTGTTAAAGTGCTTTATGCATTCAATATATTATTGGTATTGTTGTTGTTCTTCTTCTTCTTCTTATTATTATTATATTATTAAACGTAAAAAAACGTTATTTTCAAACGTATTAAACGTTATTTTCAAAAGCTCACACATACATAATGAGACGATCCAAGATGGTGTACACAGTGTGAAAAGCTGTCACAAAATCTGCGTCATCACTGAGTGGAAGGAATGTTATCAAACAGTGGAAACATAAATTTATTTGATAAAAAAAAAAATCACACAGGTTGATCATGTACTTATAACTGCAAAACTGGTGTTTAAAATTGTGCATACAAGTGTGATCAGACTTTTCCACGCTAGTGTATACGTATACTTTTATGAAGGTGGTAGAACTGGTATTTTAACTGAATGAATTTTAAGTTTTCAACAAGGGGGTTTGGTAACATTACATGAGCAAAGGGAAACAAAGTGCACCATTTTAGGGGACTCCAATGTACACTGAAGAAGGAAGTCAAATGTACTTACAAGAGCTGGCTAACCATTCTCCATTGGGGCTAAATTTCACAGAAGAAACTGCCTTTGTATGGCCAGCTAGGGTGAACTTCAGGGAGTAGTTAGGTTTCTGGGGAAAAAAACAATCAACTTTAAGTCTGATGTACACAGCATGAAAAATAGCAAAATGGGTTTGGAACGGGTATGTGCATCCATGACTGCAAATAATGAACGACTGCTACACTGAACCTTTTGTGTGGACCCTGTTGTGTTTGTTACAGCAACATTCCACTGTACATGCATTTTTATGCTATTTCACACGATTTGCAAAAATTTGCAATCTCTTATGCATACAAATAAGATATTGAGAAAATACATACGGCACATGCATGTACTTGACTGGAAAAAAAACATTGTTAATCTTTCTAAGTCACATTTCCAAATATTTGATGGACTCTCCAATTTTGAAAAAAGTCAACCGACTGGCATACAAATTTAAAATTTCAGGTGTTTAAAATTTCCATATTCAAAGAGGCAACTGATTCCTTACTTTTAGACTATAAAAATACGGGCAATAATTAGCCTTCACACAAATAGTCAGTTTTCAATCTGTACCATCTCTGAAAATATTTTTGAAACCCTTCAAAAATGCCAAGTATCAGTATCAAATCAAATGAGAAATTTACAGGTGCCAAAATATGACATAGCACCAAAACATTCAGAGGCTACCGTATGCTGACAACAAGGAAACTGTTAAAAGATATCAAGCTAAAACTTTTTTTCTTTGGTTTGTAAAGATTTTTAGGAGTTTTCTCCAGCGAATCTAATTTAGGGCACATGGTTGGGTGTTTAATGAAGTCCGCTGATATCAGATTTGTCAATTTTTTGATATGTCTGAAATCCAATATTGAGTTATTGATACATGTATATTGAATATTTCCCATGTGCAGTACACTCTCAACTCAAGCCTGGGTTACTCATTAATGAACGTACTTCATGATCATACATGTAGGTAGAAATCCCAGGGGGATGGGGAGATATCATTCTGGGGCAACGCTTTAAATAGCGCCTAAATCAGTCGCAAATGCGACCAAAATTTTGCTAATGCGATCATATTTTCACCATCCAGTCGCCATTTGCGACTTGAGATAGCTTAAAAACTAAATACAAATGTATTTTAACAATTTTGAGTATGCTTAAAAATTAAAAAAAGCAATGATTACGTACTCAAAGTTCGTTCCGGAAATGTAGAAATGGCAGCGCAAGTCACATCGAGTCGCATCGAGTGTGCTGTACATGTACATATACCATACTTTACATGTACATGTGTCGCGATCATGCGCACGGTGTGGTTGGTTCCCAATCTAAACATACGTTGTTGATACGGACACCAGGGCCATTTTACAAACCATGGCATGGCATGGGCTCCATTTTTTGCTGCTTTTTTGCTGCAACGTAAATGAAACCTGAAACGGAGCTCATGTCAGAATTAAAGGGTGTCACTGTGATTTAGAGTGTCAGAAATAGTAAAATTCATGCAGCAGGGTGTCCTACGACACGCTGAAACTACTGATATAACGTCCGTGGCTGAACCCTTGGCAAAAACCCTGATTTCGTGGGTTGACCTCATTTGTGCTTGCATGCAAGTTGTGTGGTAGACGTGTGCCGCGCCAGGTCATGATTCTTCGGCATGGATGGATGATGTAAACACAGGGTATTTATACTACATGTGTGTACGTACGTTCATGAATATTCAGCACACGTGATTACTAAATGTTCATAAAAGCGCTGGCACCTAGATTTTTCCCCATTAGGAGCCAATTGTTACCAAATATTGTTTTCTATTTAAAGGATTGCCCAGGGAGATGGGGAAATACCCCTCCCCTCCCATTTTTTACCTGAGGGATTATCAATGTAATCAACCCCCACACTTTCAAGTCACTTACTACATGTATGTACACCCTTAGCCTGCACCAGCGACTGCACATGCCAGCCTCACAATCTCACCGGGATGGAGGTCGTGCTGAGCTTTCAAAAATCATTCCCCTCCCCCACATGTGACAAGAAATCTCTGTCCATGTGCATGCTTTATGTACATGAATACCTCAATAGCTTGAAATGCCTGCATAGTACCTGTACCTGATTTGTTTGACCAATACCAAAAACACCATCGAAATAGTCACCAACAAGTCAAGCCAGATCACAAACTTTTCTTGAGTCATTACTCCCCAATGCACTTAGTCCTTTCAGGTGGTATACGATATGCACACTGTAAGCTACATGTACCACTTCATTATTTTAGATTATAAAAAATGGGCAATTATAGCTTTAACACCAATTGCCTTTCTGTATAAGAAAAAACATGTAAATGTATGTAGACAAAGATGCTACTACATCAAATAAGCAATTTGTGGGTGCCAAAATGTACAGTAGCCAACTGCAGCCTGCACACTAAAAGTCTGATTTCTGGCTGTTTGTGGTGGCCAATGCAACCCCATTGGGAAAATTGGCTTTCGAATTAGTCTGATTTTTATTACTGGATGCAATTCATGGTTCAAGCAAGGCAGCGTGTGTTTACGAATATGGAGCAAAACTAGAAACTACGTCACACAATTTGATTTGTTTATTCACACATGTATATCCATTTAATGATAAAACACTTTTCAGCCAGTATACAGTTAAGGCCAGAATAAATGTTCAAACGATACATGATGTTGCATGTGTGTGTGTATAGGGAGTTGAAGACACACTTTAAACGTGTGAACGAGAACACAATACACACAGCTGCATTTAGCCTGATGGACCGTTACCAATCTAAGCCAATTAAAGTCAACCACAATCCCCCCCCCCCGTGAGCCTAGCACAACATGATACACAAACAAGCGGTTGGCATAACTTGGCGAAATGGTGTTTATTTGATTTGCTTATTTATTTTATTTTCCAACTCAGATCTTCCTAGCCGATGGGACACCACGCTGTGCAAAAAATCCTGGCTGCAGCTCTTAAAAACTGCCTATTGTACCCAACACTACTGTTATGTAATTGGGCACTCCAATTCTAATCCACAGGGCTCCTCGCAACCCACCAAGAAGATTTAAGGTGGTCCTGCCCTGGAGAGCAGAGAGAGTTTATAACAAAAAGGATCAAAAGTGGGAATCAGAAATCCAACCTAAATGTCTTCTAGAAATTGTCCAAAAACAAATTTTGTAAAAGCATTTGTTTTGAATCCGCCGAATAAAATTTTTAATTATCAGGTCATTTTGAATCACCCTCCAATTGTATCATTCCAATGGTGCCCAAAAATTCAAAGCCATTTTTATTACCAAAATGGTAAATTCAACAAAAGGATGATTACTTTCTGTTAGACTGTACCAATTTCGTCAGTACTGATACCATTTGATACGGTAGAATAGTTAAATTAGAAACATTTCCCGTTCTAACGTCAAAGTAGTCGTGTCCACCTCAGCATGTGCTGGTTCAAGGGTATCCTCTCTTTTTGTCAGAAGTTCGACAAATCAATTATTGTTTTATTGGATGATGATATAATTAAAGATTGGGAGTGTGGCAGATTTTTCCATTACAAAATGTCTGGATTCACACGATTTGCAGTGAAAATTTGGTTCAAATTCAAACTTACTTTACGAAAAAAAATAATCCAGTGGATTCCCCATTTTTTTGTGCAATTGAGACACTATTCTTCTTTGTATGAATCTAGTTTTTATAATCTGGAGAACTCATTTATAATAGCTTTTGATCAAATTTGGCATCACTCATTTTCAGGTGACAAACAATAATTCGGGGGTTATTTTAAAGCGTATTTTTGCAGAACCTTTTATGAAGCAGGGCACAATATCAATGCTACCGAAAAATAAGATGGTTAATTTAATTAGGATTTGTCATATAACATTTCATTATTTACATGTATGCTCGGTTTCATGGAAATCAACTACGGTAAAATTTACATCCTATCTTTTTGCAATCAGAGCATGCAAAATCAAACACAGCCTGTTGGTATGTTGCTGTTAAATGCAAATTGTGTACTTTAGTAATGAGGCGACACTGTACTCCATAGACAACTTATTGTTTCTTCAATAATCTGGAGATAAATGATAATACTGGGATAAGGAAGTAATTGTTCACTTTTGTTTTCCCCCCACTGAATTACAGCCGGACACGATGCAAGAGCTGGTGTCAAATATAATGTATTTATTTATCGGCCCAGATTCAGTGTGATACACGAAAAATACACCCAGCCCAACAGACAATATGCTTTGCTGTCCTGTGTGAGAACACATATCTGTAAAATTGTCAGTAATTTAGGCAAATTAAAAAAAGACCTCGTGATGAGCAGGATCGTTAAATCAATAAAAGACTGGGGAGGGGGATTGCCAACTTAAAAGTGGAACTTTCGGCGCTGTGAACTCGTAAACAAACGTCCATCGTGTGCTTTGGAACACATCATTATTGAAGAAGTTGCATGTTTGTCACAAATCAGGTGTTGGTGATGAATATACGGATACAAACAAAACAAAACAGCCCTTACAAGTGGAACTAAGAAGTGAGTGGGGGGATGCTGAGCTCCCCGAACTCTCCCAACCTACGGTCCTAAACCCATTTGTAGTGCTGTGGCCAGATGAACCCCCACACATTTGAAAAACCTTCTTATGTGCCGAGCTACCACTTCCTTATAAACTTGTACAATAAAAAGAACACACCCAATCTTCATATACTGTACATGTAAATACAAACATTCTGAAATAGTTACACAGACGCATATTTTTGTGGAGAACAAGGCCGTAGTGTCTTTGAATTGATTGAAACCAAGTCAAGCCCAGTGGACTTTACACTATGCAACATAGTATAAACATATTTTTTCCAAGTGCTGCATGTGAGCAACCGCCTGACCAACCCTCTGGCCCAGATCTAGGAAAAAATACATTTTCAAAGCTACTATTTCTTTCCTGAATTGCCTGTCAGAAAATGATAAACCACAGTTTTTTAAGGACAAAAGAAGTAAATGTTCCCCCTTGTTTTCCCCTGACAAATGGCCAGATTTGCTTGCATACAGGCAACAAAATTGCTGGAAATCGGGTCATGCTCGACAATCTGCATGAATGCAACACTGGCATG